GATTTTGTGGCAGCTGCGATCTCCAAAGAACCCTTCAATTTGCCCTGTGCTATAGGCATCCTTCCAACAAGGAGACGGGCACAGGGACCATTGCCGTTCTCTGGGCTTCATCACCCCTCACTGGTTTTGACTGATGCTCCCCGTAGGGGTCCTGCACCTTGCCAGATGTGAACTGGATGCCTATGAAGCAGCACAAGGAGAAGGTGTTGTGGGGTCCCTCAGGGAAAGCAAAGAGCTGGGTTGGGCAGCACCACACCGTGTCCGTGGGGTTACAGGACAGCCATCTGCAGTGGGTGTGCAGGACTTCTTGTCATGGGGTACCAGGGGAAGCAAAAGGCAGGAGATGCCTGGAGTCCTTTACTGCCTGACCAGTGTGACTGCCAGCCCAGCGTCCTGCATAGGGCAGCTAAAGAAGCCTTGCAGTGGCTGCCCTCCTCGGGGGTTATCATCCCCATGTGCGACAGGGTGATGCCGATCAGTGCATGGCCCTGTGCTCCTATCACCCCAGCATGGAATGAGAGTCCTTGGGAAGCCATTTTGGGATTGGGACTGGGACATGTTTGCAGAGTCCCACCTGCCTCTGGAGCAGGAGAAACCTCATTCCCTCTCCAAAGAAGGCATGGTGAGGGATGCAGGTGCAGGGAACCACAGCACTTCTGCCACTGGTGTGTGTGCCTTGATGCAGTCAAGCAGGAGATGTTGTTCAGCAGCATTCTGTGCTCTTAAACCAGTGGGTTATGGTGCCAGCTGCTTCGGAGAGGTGTAGGGAAAACTGTGTGGAAAGGAGAGAGAAGAATCACTGCTGAGCATTGCGAAGACCCCAGGCAGCTCCTGTCCTGTCTTCTTGGCCAGCCCAGTGTTTCATGGGCATGGTGAGGGCTTGTGATGGCTAAATGGGACAATTTTCCTGCATTACTCTGGCCTGGGAAGATCAAAGATGAACAGGGCAAGCATATCTGTCTGCTACCTCCTTTGATGGGTGGCACGAGCCTCCCTGGCCGTTAACCCCATCGTCTCCTGCCGGAGAGGCCAGGTCTACTTCCAAACACAGGACCCTAGAAGTGAGCACTGAAGGGATGGGAAGCTGGGGGAGAAGAGGATGGATGTGGTTTGCCTTTTCTCACATGGAGTCTGGCATATCCTGTGTGATGTAATGGAGGGTGCTCTTGGTGTGCATGAGAGAGAAGAGATGCCCAGAGGGGAGAGGAAGGGAATTGTACAAGACTGGGCAGACCAACCAGAAAAGGGGACCCTCCCGACAGGACCTGTGGCTGTAGCAGCACTGAGTGACCCCAGTGGGTGGCTGAAGCAGACCCGGGTGGTCTTCACCCTCTGCCAGTTCTCAGGCTGCAGGGAGGCTCCTGCGGAGTCGGGGGAAGGGTTAAGTCAGGAAGGCTTCAGCCTGCTGCCTTGGCCCCTGTAATTCCTCCAGAGAGTAGGACTGGGAGAACAAGGAGCCCTTTCTGTTCACAGGAATTAATAGCAAAGAGTCATCTGGGGTGTCATTCAAGCCCTGATCAGCTCCCGGAGGAATGTGAGGGAGAGCAAGTGAGGGAGCACAGCCCGAGGCCGAGGCACCACAGCCAGGGCAGGAGCAGTTTGGCTGGTAACCAGCGTTACCGGCTGGCATCTGGGGAGCAAGACCCCTTCACCCCAGCCTCCATGTCCCCTCTGCCCTGTGCAGGGGCTCACCATGACACCCATTCTCGAAGGGCTTCCACCAGCTCCTAAGCTTGTTCCTTGTTACCCATCACTTTGTATTGGGAAGGGGGGAGATGTCCCAGCCCATCACCACCACTGAACCTGGAGGGATGGGCCAGGCAACCAGGCGCCAGCACAACCCCACTGCGCTCACTATGGACATGAACTCCAGCAGACACCCCCTCTGCAGCCTCCAGCCTGTGATGACCATGGGGTTTGTCCTCCCAAGCAAGCTTGCCCATGGAAAGGATCTCCAGGGAGCCCTCAAACACGGCAGGGGACATGGGGTAGTAGCTCAGGGGAGCACAAAGTTCAGTGCTGAAGCCTTTGCTGCCTTACCATCTTGCCCAAACTAACTCAGTCGTTGCAATTTCAGGAGAAAAAGATCAGGTCAAGGAGTTACCACACTAGTGTTTCATGGTGCTGCTTCATGGCCACACAGGAAAGCTTGAAAGTGCTGCATAGTGACACTGCAGTGTTGCCTGTAGTGGCAGTCAGCCCCAGTGAGACACGCAGAGATTTTGGCTACTAGCTGAGAAGACCTTGGAGTGGTCAATCCTGTTCTGTGGCCTCCTCTTTGCCTGCATCACGGAAGGCCCACATAACTATGCCTGGTAGCACAAGATGACCCAAGGCTCTGGTGATGTACGTGTTCAACCCTAGCATATGGACAATGGGGTCTTCAGGTCTGCCGCATGGGGTGTGATCTGAGCTCACCAGCCTGGCAGTGAGTGCAGTTCAGGCAGACACATCTGTGTGAGTTGCAAACAGAGCCATGCTGGAGTGCACGAGTTGCTTTTGCTGGCCAAAATGCATCTCACCAAAGTTTCCCTTCCTCCCCCCACACACCAGGTCAGCCCAAAACCAGCTGTAAGCAGTAGGGCTGCATCTCAGCATCCTCTGAGAGATGCACAGAGATGCCAGGATGGATTCCTCTGTCCCCTCCCCTGTCCCGGCACCACCGCCACCACTGCCGCCACAATGAGTGCGCCTTGTCGTAGAGGGGTTAATAAATGATGCAAGAAAGGAGCTCTTTAATGCACAGTGACCTTTGGCCTTTCATAAATCACAGTGTTGGGCTGCAAGTGAGCGGGGGGCGCAAGGCAGTGGGGGGAGAGGACGGGAGGGGGTCCCTGCAGCTGCGCCACGGAGTTGACATTGTTCCCACCATCACTAAAGTGCAACAAATCCCTCTATTGTGTTCCTGGTTTATCTGGTTCCTCTTGTTTATTAGCAGAGGTTGTTTGGCGCTGGCTCCAGCCCTGGGCGGGTGGAAAGAGTGTTGGCACGCACCAGAGGAGGGGAGGGAGGGAGTGGGGGGGATTGGGATGGGAGGACGAGAGCAGTTCATCAATGGCTGTATTGTCCCATCTTTTTTGTTGCTCCTGTAATGATATGTTCAAAAAAAGGGGATTAAATAAAAAAAAAAAAAAAAAAAAAAAAAGAGGGGGAGGGAGGGGGGAGACGAGAGAGGGAGAGAAAGACAAACGGCACAGAAGGACTTGGTAAGAATGGCCAGTCTGGGCCTGCAGCGGATGCTGTCGCAGCTGGGGAGGATGGATGGGTCGGGACGGAGCCACAACGGGGCTGCTCTGTGCCTTTATGCTGCTTATTCAGGTTGGGAGTCGTGAGCCCCAGTGGTTCAGGCTGGGCCCACCTGGGCCAACTCTATTCATGGCCAGCGGGGACCATGTGCCACAGGAGCGAGGGGCTTGGGATGGCAGGGAAGGGGGAGGAAGGCTGTTCTTCACATCCCTGGGGTCTGAACCTTTGTACAGAAGAGGCAGTTGGGGGAGCAGAGCATCTTCTCAAAGCACTGGCAGCATCCTTCATCCCACTTGGTCATCATCCCCCAACCTACCCACCCATCCTGAGAAGTACCAGTGCCCCTTCCCAAATTTCCAGTTTCTTGCACCCAGATCTTGCTTACACTTGCATTTTTTCTCCTGGAGCTGCCTGTGGACACGTGCACATGGAGAGCTCCACTGATTTTCATAGGGAGCAGCAGGACAGTGCTGGAAGATGGTGGCACTTTGGTCACTACTTTGCCTAAAGCCAGATGACAGCACAGCTAAAACCGACACGGCCACAGCAGCTTTGCTCATGCTCTGCCTTTTGCTACCCATGGAGCTGAATGGATGCAAACACCCCTAAGAGGTGCACGTCCCACCATAAACAGCCTTTTTGAGATCAGAGTGAAATTTATTGAGATAAGAGTAAAATTCTATCTGGGATACTCAAGGAACTCTTCTAGTTCATCTCAGGATGAACTGGTTTTAACCCAACCACACCAACCATTTCTGCTCCAGTGTGTCCATCACCTTAGAGGTGTTGCATGGGGGCACCACACATGCACAGGATCTCAGAGACTGAAACATTCTGCTGAACTTTAAATGGCAGGTTTTATTTGGTGGTTATTAGGCTCTTGTGTCTGACCTCTCATCTTTCAGCTTGGGTCAGGTTTTAAATGTAAAATGCCGGTTCGAAATAAAATCTCAGGAATTTCCTTCGAAAATGTCCATTCACAACATTTTGGCATTTAGAAAACAGAGTAACTCAGGAAGATTGTCTTGAAATGAAATGGTTTAATATTTTAAATGTCTCCCTCCCACACTTGCTTTCCAGCAGCAGTACTTGTTAAATTTGGCCTGGATCTGCAACTGGTTTCGTTCCCCTGAAGACCCATTTCTTGGCAAATCATTTACCAGTAAATGCTTCCCCCATACCAGTCGTTCCCACCCTCGGATGATGCCACATCCTTGCCATCTCTGGGAGGTGTCAGGGTCTCCACCAGGTGCTGGAATGTGTTTGGATTCTTAGTTCCCTCGAGTGCCACCTTGTCTCCAGTGATCTCAGGACCCATGGCAGGCCTGCCCTCAGCCTGTGCCACCCGTTCCCTGAGGGTCAGGCGCGAAGCCCAGCAGTGGCACAGCTCTAACTTTGTGTCCTTAAAAACTAGAGGCTTAAACTCATGTAACGTGATCACACGTTTGTGTGGCTGCTGCTTAGGGTGTTTCTAAAGGGACATGTGAGGAGCTGGGCTGTGAAGATCTGAGGCTGTAGAAGTGAAAGGGGGGGCTGGCATGGGACAGACTCTCCCTTACTGCAGGGATGCATGGCAATCCTTTTCACATGGGTGGAAAACGCAGTGTGTCAAAACTGAGAAATATTGCTGACTTGATTAAAGGTAATGTCATTAGGGCCCTCTTTTCCCATGTAAACATGAGAGCGTGAACCACCCCAGTGGCCACACAGAGATGAGTGTTCAGCTCCCCACTTTCTTCTTTGCCTATCACAAGTCTGATTGGCTTCTCCACTATAGGAAGTTCCCAGACTTAATTCTGTCTTCCCTCAGTCAGATATCCAACAGGTACCTCCATACCCAGTGTCATCCAAAGCATCTTCATGTAACCTCTGAAAAGAAAGAATGAATAATTCCTACCAGCAGTCAGGATCACTGCTTGTTCAGATGAAACAGCCAGTTTCAACTTGTCTCCTTTCCTCCAGTCCAGTGCGAGGGGACTTCATAGGACTTCTGGATTACAAATATGAAGAGTTATAAGGTTTTCCTTGGAAAAATCTGGTCACACAATGAGTTTAGCAACTGGAAACAGAGTAAAGTTTGCTTGTGCCAGCTTGAACTGGTGGCACCATTAACCCTACACCTGAGCTGGATAGTCACAGGGATATATCAAAGCCAAATTCTCTTCTGAGACTGTCATCTCTCTATATTCCTCATAGGCAGTCTAAGTTTTGCCTAACCTAAGGCTACCTACCAGTCTCACCAGCCCTCACAGCAGGTGGCACCGGTGACTTTGAAGGAGATGCTCTTGTCTGCCCAGAGTAGGCCATGTCACATCACAGAAAGGACAGAGCTCTGCAACCTGGATATAAAACAGGCAAGTGCATCCATGAGTGTCCTCAAAGACAAAGACTAGCCTGAGCTGCTTCTCCAGAGAACAGTATCTGGATCACACCATAGATGATCTCAAGAGCATTCAGCAGGTAGTAATGAGGACTGGTCAGGCTGTTCCTGCAACGCACTGTTGTTTGCAGCAGGGAGCACCTCTCCTTCACATCAACAGCTAATGGAAGAAAAATAAATTCTCATCATGCACATTCACGCACACGAGGAGGACCTCTCATCCCAGCCAGTGTGGGAGACTCTCCTCGGACACTGAGGTTTCCGCTGTGCTCACGGTGGGCCTGACTCTGCTATCAGTGGCATCCCCTGGGGCAGGGACAGGACAGTGGCACTCACCATGAACTTCCCTGTCTGAGCGGTTATGAAGAATCTTACCATTAGGTTTTGCTTTCTGAACCCCAGGGAAGTTCAAGGAATCACTTGTCCACCAGCGATGGTCTGGGAGTTTTTAAATGACTATCAACATTAGGCTGGACATTCTTAACAAGCCCAGATGAAGTTCCTAATCAAGAGGTACATTTGGGACATTTTAAACCCAAGTGCCACATCTTGGGAACAGCACAGCCCCTGCACCTCCACAGAGAACTGCACCCTGTGCATTTTGCTCTGAAGCAGAGGGGTCACAACACATTGCCCCCTGGGATGCAGGACATGGTGACTAGAGGAGCATGGCACTGCTTGCCCAGATGGGAACCAGGACTCCCCGGCACCACCGGCTGCAGCAGTGCACTGCCTGGAGCACAGCTGCCTCCTGTCCCCTCTGTCCCCTCTCCTCCCTACCCCCCCAGAAGACCACACAGCATCCATGGTCCCCTGGCCACCAACATGGCACCTCCATCAGGGGTCCCCTGCTCACTGGTCAGCTTTGTTTGAATCAAGGCATGAGAATTTGTCCCTCATCCACACAATCATCTTGCCTTTTCCCCCACAGCCATCAAAATCCTCCTTCCCTGCCTCCCTCTTTCTCCTTCCCGCCGCCTCCCCCTTCTCTCCCTGAAACTTCCCTGCAGCTGCAGAGCTGGCCAGACAATCGGGTGTTTTAGAGAAATACATTTTTGGGCTAATTTGCCATGCATAAGTGTTTCTCTTACCCTTTAAAGGCAGGGAACAAAGAGCACATTCTCCGGGAGCTCTGCCCTGTTGTGAGCAGCCCTGCAGCTGTACAGCACTGTGCTACCCTCCGCTCTCCTGCTCCACTCTCTGCTAGCTGTGTAAGGAGATGGGGCTCTGCTTCTCCCTGGGACAACACCATCTCCTACCCATCACTACACGTTTCTGGTTTATAAAAGCAGAGCCAGAACAAGTGGGGAGGGAAGGGATTTGGCAGCACTGCCACCTAGACTGACTTGCCAGGTCATCCATGTACAGTATTTTATGTTGACACATTGTTTATCGGGAAACAGTCTGAATTTCCCTTTATTTGAGGCTTAATCCTGTGTCCAAGTATTTATGTTGTCACTTCAGTAAGTCACACTGGCAATGCATTACACACACTATTTTAGATTGCATGAAATGTTGCACTATCAAGGCAACCTAGTCATTAATAAAATCTCATGTGTGAGGTTTTCAGGTCCTATTAACTCACTTCAAACACCAGCAGCCACCCCTCATTTGGGAATTTCTCTGAGCATTTTCCTTTTTAAGGCTTCTTCAGGAAGAAGATGCAGATGTTCTGGCATGAACCACTCAGAGGCTGTAAAAGAAGGAGATGGCCGAGAGCTGTTGGACACTGAGGAGCTAAAGATTTTTGTCAGCCTTTTGGGGAACCTATTTCAGCACTTGCTGAATAATCTTTTTCCTACCCATGGAAAGTTGGTTCAGCATTTGGATTCCTAAATGGTGCAACAGGTTTTGGTAAAAGCAAAATGAGGCTTTTAAACCAGCGAAGTCACTTGCAGCACTGTATCCAGGCAAACTCTTCCCATCAGCCTGCTCCCATCCACCATGAATATTAACTCGGTTCAAAGCAGTCTTGTTTTCATCTCCAAGTCCAACACAGTGTAAGGCAGCTAATCCCGTCAGGTCTAGCCTACTCAGAACACGCTCATCTCAAGATGCCATCTCAAACCTGCATTCAGATTGCACTCAGTCCATGTTAAGTTTGGCTCAGTCAGATCAAAGCCAGTGTAACTCATGCCAAGCCAGCCATACCCAGGCCATTCTGGGCAAACTCAAGCCATGCTCCATTCAGGGATTAGTACAGTCCAGCCTGTCCAGTTGCACTCAAAGTCTAACCCAGTAAGGGGGTAAAGCAGGATGTGCCAGCTGCAAGGCAACAGAAGCTCAGCTCTGAGACACTTGAACTGTGTCTTCAGGTAGAAATGTCTGTCTCTCACAGAGGTCATCATGGCTTTAAGAGCTTGTGGCACTTGATCTCAAACAGGTTAACAGCCTCGGTCCCCCGAAACACCCTGCACATCATACCCATACAGATGCACCCATTCTTCAGTTCTTCCTCACATGTTGTGCCTTATTGTTTTGCCTCCAGCAGATCCTCTTGACTAGAATCCAGATGGATCTCTTGAAAAAAAAAAAATGGGACTTTGTTTTGAAATTATTCCATCTCTTTTAAGAATAGATAGGAAAAGAGGGAGAAGAGAGTGGAGAGAGGGAAGGGAAGGGCTTGGCTTTGGGAAACATGCAATGCAGTAAAAGTTGGAGGTCTTATGGACTGGAGACTAAGATTCTGAGCATCTAACCTAAGAAAGGCCAGTCTGGAAGAAATGATAGCTGGAGGAATATACAGTAGAAGAACGTGTAGGTGGCAACACCAGCCAAGTGGTAGGACAGTGGGACAGGTCGAGCCTCACCTGGCACAGCCCACTATATCCCAGAGTTCCTTCCTCATTAAGGTTGGTAGCCATATGGATGTAAGAACTCAGTGACAATAGCAGTCTGTTAATGGAACCAAGGCTCAAAGACATGTATTTGTTGATAGTGTGGTGCACTTGTTCTACACAGAACACCACCTGATCTTAGCTCAACTGAGATCTTAATGCTCTGAGACTCCTGCCTTGCTGTACTACTGTGAATGATTTGTATGAGGGAGCAGTGGAGAACTTTGAGCTTCTGAGTTTCCAAACTTCATTTCAAACTCCAGGACTTGCTCTTCTGACTTTACAAGTGACTCCAGTAAGTGCCAGTCAGGTATTAAAACCATAGTGCCAAGAAAAAGTCAATTTCAGATGAAATTGGAGCTGCTATAGTGAAAAATCCCACTGAGCAATGGGTTTAATCGTATTTAGCATCCCCCTGTAGGAGACTGAACTTGAACATCACTGTGTGATGTGCCCTGGCAGGGCTGCAGGGCACATCACACAGCACAGGTGGTCTGAGTGGCACAGGCAGGTTGGAAGCCAAGAACAGGTGCCAACACAAACATCCCAAAGCCCCAGAAGGAGCAAAATTCAGCTCCAGCCTTTGTGGTTACCATCTCCGTAAGCCAGAAAAAGGGAGATGATAGAAAGGAGAGGAACGGGAGGGAGAAGTTTGGAGAATGGGGGAGGGCTGGAAGCCTGCAGGCTTCTGTGGCCACATGATTTTCCTGGTTGTTTTCAAAGCACCACTCTAACACACAAGCACAAGTCCCATGTGATTGCTTACTTATGAAAGCACAGTCGTAATGTTGTGTTTATCTCACATCCGCTCAGCAGCCCACCTGACTGCGGGTTCCATGGGCCCCCCCTGCACCCTCCCCATCTCTGCCATCCAGCCAAGGGGGATGGGTGACCCACGAGGGGTGGACACTGCTCCTGTCCTGGCGAGGTGGGGAAGAAGAGAGGAGGATCATCTTCCATTATCCAAATGCTCTTTGCTTTCTCTTTGCCTGGCCCTGTGAGAGGTGGCTCCAGATGCAGGGTGCTGTCCTTTCTGTACTGTCACGGGGGGAAAAAGCTTTGATTTCAGATCTGTCTTGCTTCTTTTAATTTGCAGAGCACCTGGAAGCAAGCTCAGGTAGAAACTGACATGGTGCATGCTGATATCCCACTTTTGTTCTTCAGATAGGTGCAGCTTCTCTTCCCTTGGACAGAACTTTTTCTTACCATCATCACAGAAGTCCTCTTTCACTCAAAGGTTCACTCGATAAAACAGGAAGCCTCCTTAGAAAGGGGAGAGAAGAGGGTAAGGGAGAGTGTTCACAGTGAAATAAAGCTGGTTGTTTCTTTGGGAGTGGAGACTTTCACCTACCTTCAACTCATTCTCTCTCTCAGAGAGAACCCCTAATCAAATAAAATTGCTCTTCTCAGTCAAAGGGAGGTCTAAGACGTGAGCAAGAGACATGCAAGTGTGTGAGAACAGAGTTTCTGAAGTCCAACAGTAGGAACCGAATTAACAGAAGTTGTGATGGGACAAGCTAATGCTGCAGTAAAAAATGCATTTTATGGTTGGTGTTTTCTCTCTCCACAGCCTGAGGCACCAGTGTCCCTAGATAAAAATGTCTATGGAAAAGATTTATCACCTCATATGCTGCAAAAAACCCCTCCAGTGATCTTTGCCAAAACCAAAGCTCCTATGAAAAAGGGACATCTGACATTTTAAGACTTTGGTATGGTCAAACCACCGAACGTCATTCCTACCTCCTCTTCCCAGACAATAAATCCTTAGCTTAAATTGCCCAAGAGCCAACATCTCTACCTCACCACACAGATTACGCCTCCCATGGCCATGCCTCTTTCCTGCATACTCAGTAAATCGCCTCCATGAAGGGTTAATTCAACCAGGGCTTTTTACTCCAAGTTGTTTTCTAAGTAGCTGAGAGAATAGGTCTCTTGTTACAAACATGGCTTCTGGGCATTTGGTGATGCTTTCCCTTTTCTTTCTCTCTGTACCACAAAAGAATCTTTTGTTCTCTTGTCCCTCTGTCTCATTTACTCTCCCCCACCCTGCTCTGCCTCTTCCCTCCATTGGCTGCCAAGTGACTAAGGAATGGCAAAAAATGACCATAGCGCAGTCATGGCAAATATTTCTTCAGCTATTATCTGATAGAGACCTTGAGCATCTATGTGAAGGGCCCTCTGCCTTCCCTCGGGCTTCTCCTGGAGATGGGGAAAAATGAGTCAGACACAACAGGGCAGGATATAAGTCAAATCAGCCCAACATTCTAATGGAAATGTCTTGCGAATAGAGTCATGGTGCCTGTTTTGGGAAAATCAAATGATAGGGACCCATAACTGGCAGGACTCCAGTGGCTGCTTCAATGGGTCTAGATTTTTATAGGAACTCTGCATTTATTAAAAAACACATGGGAGGCACAAAAAAGTCACTTTCTTGCCTCCACATTTACTGATTCAGCTGTTTGTAAGCTGGAGCAGACACTCTTTGTTGGATGGGTTGTAATGTCTTTACTTTCTCCACACGATTGACGTAAATGTTTTTGTGCATGATCTCCTACCACAAAAAAGCTGTGGCAAATCCCCGTGGGACATCTTGTCTTCCCACACACCATTAAAATTATACGTCAGGCATTCCCACAGGCATCCTTCTAGCTATAGTCTTCTCCTTGAACATACTGCTTCACCGAGTTAGTTTACACGTACGTACATAGATATTTAAAAGTTCACATGACACTAAAGTCACTGCAACTTCCACAATGACCTTTCTGAAACAGAAACAATTCCCCAGCCAAATTCCCACCTCCCTACCTTTTAGAGCATTCGGATATATTCTTCACTGATACTGCCTTCTGAAAGAAAACAAAATTCTTTGGTCTCACCTGAAGCAAATCTTGCTGTTTCTGCCCTTCTGCTCATCTTCTTCTCTAGTGACCCTTTTTACTCTTCTGACTACCCTTTGTCCCAAGTCCATCTCAGTCTGTGTTGTGCCTCAGGTGAACACGGCGTAAACCTCCTGACTCCATTACCAAGCTTTCTGCACTCTTCTCCCATCCAGTGCCTCAACTGTTTTGAAAGGCCCTTAAAACAATCTTCAGATTGCAGCCTTAGTGACTTCCCGCACACATGCACACAAAGCTGTGGATGTAAGGCGTTATCTGCAGAAATTTTATTCCTGTAGAGAAGGGGAATGGACTATACAGATAAAAGGGCCATTATATTCCCACATTAGAAGGCTTTCTTGTCTAGTGGATTTTAACCAAGCTGGTTAAACCGTCATGAAAACGGTGCACTGACCAACTCCTTATATGACTGTGCCCACAATAAAGATTTGTGCTAAGTCAACCCTATCTGTTTTGAAACTGCATGCAGAGCAGCTTTCATTGTAAAAGCATCAAACCCATCTAATATGTAACAATTAAGGAATACACAACAATCCTTTTCCTGCGTCCTGGTTTCATAGCATCTAAATGCATCCCAGCACAAACACTGAGATCCTCAGTGCAATCCCAGCTCGGCCTCACTGCTTCTACAGTAGCTCTGTCATACCGGGTGCTCATCAGAAACGTACAGTCAGCCTTAAATCAGTATCTACTGATCACTTAAAGGTGATCAGTAGATAAACACGGGTCACCTCCATCACAAAGGACAACCAAAGCACCCTGAGATGAAGAATGTTACCCCAGAAACTCAATAGTTCAAATGTGCATCTAATGCTACAAACATAAACCTCCCCACCAAGCAGTGCCCCTGATAAAGCAATGCACTGCTGGATCCTCTTAGAAACCCCCATTTAGAAATGGTGAAAAAAGGAAAGGATTTGCTTCTCCCTGGTTCCAATTCCTCTTCACAGGGTGGGATCCCATAGTCCTGCAGTAGAGACTAATCTAGTCAAAGGCATTACACTGCCTACAGAGCCCCATCAGAGTCATCTTTGCACCCTGTGGAGACCAAGAGTTCAGCTGTTGGTCCCTTTGGAAAAAAGCATCTACCACCATCTCTTTCACAGATGAGAAGCCCAAGGATGGATTATGGATTCTTGGATAATTCTGGATGAATCAAAAAAAGAGAGGGGGGATAGCTGGATCGCTAAATAAAGCCAATGAAATCACATGTTCCGCCTTTTTATCTGCTTCTCTCTTTCTGCTTTTGGATAATAAAGCTTCCTTTGATACAGAAGAAGAGGGATGTAGGGAGTGCAGGGAGAGGGGGTGCCAGAGTCACCCCAATGGCCCCTGGTCACTTATCCACGCTCCTTAATGGGATGTTCCCACTGACAGAGACAGAAAAAGACAGTGATCTCATGATTCCACAGATGATTATGCAAACAACCTTGGGAGATGAGGGGTGAAGGGGACAGGAAGAGGGGTAAAGAATGATTGAGGAAAGGAGAGAAAGGGAGAGGAAAGGGTATGAGTGACAGGGAGAGGGGGTATGGGAAGCAGGACCTTGGAGGGCAACTGTGGATGGCATTAGAAACTGAAGGTCAGAATCCAAAAGAGGATATGTAGAGGCACTGTAGGGAAAAGGAGAAGTAAAAGGAGTCTTGAGATGAAGGGTAACAGGCCTGGTGGAAGAAGGTTAGGTGTGACATTGTATGGCAGGACTGAGGGCAGGGTAAGGGATAAGATTTGACTGAGTTATCGAGTATGTAGAAATGGGAGGCCGGACTCAGAAACAGTGTGGTGGGATGAGGAACAAGGACTTAATATGAGTGTGCGAAGGAAAGGAGGGAGAAGCACCTATGGGGTTGGGAGCAGAAGGGGTACAACTTACTGAAACTTGTTACTTTGACGTTCTGCTTACACAAAACCAGGTCACCAAATCTGCCAAGAGAATAATCTTGGTTTCTCACACCCCCAGAGCAAACAGATGCTAGGAATGTGATAGGGAGAAAGATTACCTGAGGCGTTCAGCCACGTCCAAGGGAGGCAGTGATGAGGCAGTGGGACTGGAGACAGGCAGCCTGGTTTCAACTTTGCCTGGGCTGATTTTTGTGCAGGAAACCTTCACACTTGCACAGAGGAGCACTCTGTGTGTATTATACCTCACCTGCCAGCAGCCTTCCCCTTAAGCCTTCTTCCTTTCCTTTCCTTCCCTTCCCTTCCCTCCTACCCTTTTGTTCCTCCTTTCCTTCTTCCCTCACTCCCTCCATCCTTCTTTACTGCCTCCCCACAGTAAGACAAGAGGTCAACACAGTCTGCAGGAGATTACCACCTTCTTCCCCTTTCCACCCCAACAGCCCTCATCCCTGACCAGTGAAGCAGCCAGGGCCCAGCAGGAGGTTTTTGAGCCCAGAGGGCTCCTGTTAGACCAGGAACAAGGAGGGGATGAAGGACTGGGGGAACAACTTGAAGAAAGTGTCCCCCATTACAAGCTGCCATCTCCATACCTCATGACTCCCTGACACTGGCCTGTCCTGGGGGCTCATCACATTTTCCCCCTCCTCTGTCTGCTCCATGGCAGCTAATCAGTGACCCACTGACAGTCTCTGTCCATCACTCGTCTCTGCACGCAATGTGGTAATTAAACCCTGACCCTCCACTCCTTTTATCCATTTCCTCTGTGCAGTCACTCCCCGAAACAGGAGAGGTGAGGGCGTGCTGTGGAGGCTCCTGACCCAGCCTCCAGCTGTAATGAGGATGTAAAGCACATGAAAGACCCACTGAGAGAAGAAAGATACTGAGGGGGCAGCCAAAGAGGTATTGAGTAGTACAAATCTTCCCACATGCTTACACTGAGCTCTGCTGACTTACCTCCATCAGGGACCTTTGTAAACCTTCAGCTCTTTATCACCACACCCACAGGTTGTCTAGCATCTTTTCCCTGCCCTGTCATATCGACAGTAAACCCACTCCTCCTCTATGTGTCCTCAGGGCAGTTCTAGAAGGGGGTGTCCAGCTCAGGTGAAAACAAAGCCTTCCAGAAGCCTCACTACATCCATCTCTGGGCTTGCTTCCCCACACTACAGCCCAGCTTGGTTGATATGCCCCAACCAAAGCTTCTGGTGTGAACCCATTACCTCCAATGGAGCTAAGCGCAGTGCCTCAGCCCTGGCACATGAAGGTTTCCTCATTAAACACCTGCAAAAGGGCAGAGGGAGCTCTCGGTAGCAGAGTGCACCCCACAGAGCACAGCGGATGGATGCAGGAGCTGGCTGGTACCTGGTGATACTGCTTTTGCCTGCATGGTGGGACAATGAAGGATGCATCAAGTGACAGACCGGAGTCACAGATTGTAAGGAAGTTATTTTTATATTTTTCCCTTTTTTTTTTTTTTTTTTTTTGGCTTTCTGGCACTCCACAGAATTTATTACACGGATTGATAAAAAGCCAGAAATGATGCTGAGTAACTCAGACTCTGCTTCCTGCTCCCTACCCCAAGTGGGGAAGCTGCCTCCCTCCCACTCATGAGCAAGAAGGGCTGGGGCCACCCGGGGAAGGGCATGATGGGTAAAGCAATGCCCCCTGAACAATTAAGCACTGTCCCAGGCACTGCACACCCTTGTCCTGGGAACAAAAGAGTCACACACAAGAGACCTGACTGTGAAGCCTCCATCCGCTTTCATCACTGACCCCCGGGGCAGTCAGGGCACAAGGTCAGCCCACTTAAACTCCAAACTCAGCCAGAAATAGAGCTGGGAAGTGGGCAAGGGTGGCCAAGTGCAGGGGTCCCCAACCATTTGAGGGGTTCTTTGACTGAGCCATTTCATTTCATCAAAGACACGTTTTTTTTCTGGAAGGAAAGTGGAGAGCAGTGGGTGTGAAGGGAGTAAGGGGGAAGCAGAGTGTTCACCGTGAATTATGACCACTCTCAACAACAGCCTTTTACATTATGGAGGTGAGGAGAGGATGGGGTAATTGGGCATGTTAGACCCATGCATAATGAGGGCAAATCTCTGCCTCTTTCCCACCCTCCACCCTGCCACTGCTCAGGAGATGTGGTCCTGCTCGATATTCCACTGTGGGGCTCAACACCCTGAGGGCTTAACCCAAGGACTATGAGCTTTGATACTGCCTCTCCAGACTGGCAGTCCTCTTGGGATGGGCCATAGCCTGTGGACATGCCCCTCATGTGAAAAGGCTGAAAGTTGACTTAAAAATTAAAGCCAAGCCAGGGCTCATGCTTTCCACCTGCAGGGGCTCAGGAAACCCACCAGGCTTTAAGCTGCTGTTTTTTCAGGCTGTAAATGCTGCCTTTGCATGTATTACTTTCATATGGGTGCAAGCTGGACCTTCTGGGGGACAGCACTAAGCAGTATATTAGTGGTAGGTAAGAACAGATACTCCTGAGACCTATCTCCTCAACTAGGAGAAATGGAGCTGGCAAATGAAGTTGCGAAGCCGCTGGCCATCATATTTGAGAAATCATGGCAGTCAGGGGAAGTTCCTGACGCTGGAAAAAGGGAAATATAACCCCCATTTTCAAGAAGGGGAAAATGGATGACCCGGGGAATTACAGACCAGTCAGTCTCACCTCTGTGCCTGGCAAAATCTTGGAGCAGATTCTCCTGGAAGGCAGGCTAAGGCACATGAAAATCAACAAGGTGCTTGGTGACAGCCAGCATGGCTTCACTAAGGGGAAATCCTGCCTGACCAATTTGGTGGCCTTCTATGATGGGGCTACAGAACTGATGGACAGGGGTAGAGCAGTTGATGTCATCTACCTGCACTTGTGCAAAGCGTTCGACACTGTCCCACATGACATCCTTGTCTCTAAATTGGAGAGACATCAGTTTGATGGATGGACCACTCGGTGGATAAAGAACTGGATGGATGGGCACACGCAAAGAGTTGTGGTCAATGGCTCAATTTCCAGTTGGAGACCAGTAACAAGTGGTGTCCCTCAGGAATTGGTGTTGGGACCGGTCTTGTTTAACATCTTTGTCGCTGACATGGACAGTGGGATTGAGTGCACCCTCTGCAAGTTTGCCGATGACACCAAGCTGTGTGGTTTGGTTGATACGCTGGAGGGAAGGAATGGCATCCAGAGGGACCCTGACACACTTGTAAGGTGGGCTGATGCCAACCTCATGAAGTTTAACCATGCCAAGTGCAAGGTCCTACACCTGGGTCGGAGCAATCCCAGGCACAGCTACAGGTTGAGCAGAGAAGAGATTCAGAGCAGCCCTGCAGAGAAGGACTTGGCGTGTTGGTTGATGAGAAAATGAACATGAGCAGGCAGTGTTCGCTTGCAGCCCAGAAAGCCAACCGTATCCTGGGCTGCATCAAAAGGAGCGTGACCAGCAGGTTGAAGGAGGTGATCCTGCCCCTCTACTCTGCTCTTGTGAGACCTCACCTGGAGTATTGTGTGCAGTCCTGGTGTCCTCAACATAAAAAGGACATGGAACTGTTGGAACAAGTCCAGAGAAGGGCCACGAGGATGATCAGGGGACTGGAGCACCTCCCATATGAAGACAGGCTGAGGAAATTGGGGCTGTTCAGCCTGGAGAAGAGAAGGCTGTGTGGAGACCTCATAGCAGCCTTCCAGTATCTGAAGGGGGCCTATAGGGATGCTGGAGAGGGACTCTTCATTAGAGACTGTAGTGACAGGACAAGGGGCAATGGGTTAAAACTTAAACAGGGGAAGTTTAGATTGGATATAAGGAGGAAATTCTTTCCTGTTAGGGTTGTGAGGCACTGGAATGGGTTGCCCAGGGATGTTGTGAATGCTCCATCCCTGGCAGTGTTCAAGACCAGGCTGGACAAGGCCTTGGGTGATATGATTTAGCGTAAGGTGTCCCTGCCCACAGCAGGGGGGTTGGAACTAGATGATCTTAAGGTCCTTTCCAACCCTAATTATTCTATTATTCTATTATTATTCTATAAATATGTGGGGACAAAGTCAAGGGGGAATCAAATGTGTTTGTGCATATAATCAGTTTAAACTTAAACAGGGTAGATTTAAGTTAGATATAATGAAGAAGTTCTTTACTGTGAGGGTGGTGAAGCACTGGAACAGGTTGCCCAAGGAAGCTGCGGTTGCTCCATCCCTTGGCATTGTTCAAGGCCAGGTTGGACATGGACTTGATCAACCTGGTCTAGTGGAAGGTATCCCTCCCCATGGCAGGGGGGTGGAAGTAGATGATCTTAAGGTCCTTTCCAACCCAAACCATTCTACAATTCTTTGTGGGATACAGTGCATTGACCATAGAACATTGTCCATTTCACTAGGCTTTTTCCCTCTAGATAAGCTTCTTATAATTCTAAATGTAGGAAATTTCAGAGGAAGGACAATTAAAACACACACTGGGGGGGGGGGGGGGGGGGGGGTGGAGGGGAGAGGTAAGTGCAAAAGAAAAAAAATAATGCAAAAAAAACCCCTGCTTTTCACATCAAAAATGTGAAATTTCACTAAGTCAGCCTGAATTCCAAAAGACAGTAATACTGTGTTCTCTGAAACTCTATAGGGCAAATATTCGGCGCTTGGTGCCCCCATGGGGAAGGATATCTCCACAGTGTCCAAATGTATTGAAGGCTCATCTCATTCTGGGAAGAGTTTGAATACAGCAGTGATATGATGTACAGGTTGGGAAATAAGCAGTCAGGTAATTTGTAGCCACGTTTTCAATGTTTCTCACCCCTTTCTCTGTGAGTTGGTATCCCAGGATACAAGTGTTAACAGCAAACACCCACCCTGGTGTATGATAAACCACCCCTGTGTATGACTGTCCCCTACTTCACCTCAGTGAGGTTGCCACCACCTCCATCTCCCACCTACACCATCTAAAGGTCCCCGCAGTAGTTTGGAGCACGCAGCAGAAGTGGAGCAGCAACATGGAAGGCAGACTGTGGAGTGGTGGGCAGGGAATACAGTCCCATACTTAGCCACTGAAAGTTCTCCCAAACCCAGACAACATAGCTGAAGTGATAGGAGTCAAGGAGAATGTTGTCAGCTCAGCGTTAGTTGCGTTGACTCTGACAACAGCAGCAGAAAAGCAGCCAGAAACACAAGATTCAGCAGAGAGCCAGTACAGAGAGATGCACCTGAGTGCCAAGAAGCTAACCAGTCATGCAATGTGTGATCTCCTCACAGATTCCTTATTACATGTGATGAAAGACAAGCAGAAGGCAGTTAAACTCGCAGGGCCTCGACTGCCTTTGCAGGGGTTGTCTATTTGAGGGTGGAAAAGTGTCTGCACTTGCAGACTGAGCCCTCCTGATCCAAGCTGTGTTGGTAGACTGAAAGCAGTGAGCCCAGGATAAAGCCGTGTTTCAAATTGTTGATGCAATGATTAATCAGACCTATTCTTGAAAATTAACAGCTTCCTGGGATTATTTTTTTTTTTACAGGTTAGCCTTATTTTTTTTTTTTTTAATTTTAGGTAAACATTTTTGTCAGTAATTCATGATTTCTTCCTTTGGGAGGAGGTGATTAGCTGGATTTCCAATGCTGAGACAGACATGGCTTTAGGGCACACGCAGATTCATTCTCTAACACAAAGAGAATCCAATCAATCTGGGACATGTTAGTGCAACTGTACACAAAAGGCAGGGTCAGCACATGCATATAAAGGCCGATGCTTCAGGGAAGATACTGAAGGACACACACATGGAGCAGCACAAATGAAAGGCACATCAGACCTATAGGTTTGGGCCTTGTCAGTGTCAGCAGGCCTGTTTTTTTCTATCATCTCAGGCCAGTTCTGCCTCTTGTATTTCTCTAATGGCAGGAGCTGCCAGGAAAGGAGTCATTCACTGCCTGTTCTCCCCTCCAGCTCTAGTAGCAGAAGTGGACACACGAGCAATGAGGTCCCGGGGCTTGTTTTAACGTTGCCCAGTCAGGCACAAGGGTCTGAGCAATCCCCTTGGGCACAACCAGCTGATTTATGTTATGCAGGTGTTCTCCTAGGCATGGGGGAAACTTCCCGCCTCGTCTTGCAGTAAAATAGGAGAAATATCCCACCGTTGCAAACCCAGGCCACCTGAATCCAGGCTCCCTTCCTGCAGCAGAAGTTCTCAGCAGCGCCCACACGGTGGAGCTCCCCCTCAGAAATGAAGCCCAGCTCACTGGCCTGGTGGTCGTCTCCTCGGGGTGATCTTGCAAAGCTCATGGGCACGAAGCAGGAAACAGCACAGGGACTGTGTATGGGACTCCCAGGCCCTCTAACTCAGAGCATGAAGCATTCTGCCCTGGCACGGGACAGACAGCAGTCTCGATTTCTGCCTCTGCTGAAGATCTGCTGTTTGACATTGGCTGTATCAGCTCTTGTCTGTATCAGCTGTCAGCTTTGGGGAGGGTTCTGTAAGGTTTCCTCAGTGTTTGGCAGTGTCCAGCTAGCCAGGGGCTGGACTTCAGAGGGGCTGCACTGTAACTGTATCACAAATATCTTAACCCCTAGTTGCCAATGGCAAACTTACACACTCTGAGGAGGACAGGGGGAGAGATTTTTTAAAATGCATTCCAAAGTAAGTATTCTAAGAAGAAGAAAGTTATGGACAGTTGTTTTGATCCAATAATTTGAAAGAGATCCAAGAATTACACAGGAAAATGTTTCCAGGTGTTGCAGGACCACAGTATTGTAGAAACTGTCCAGTTAAATTTTCACTGTTTCTAGGAATGGATATTCCCTGATTTCTCTGGGCTGTTGTAACAGTGCTTTCCCACCCTCAGAGTGATGGTTTTGTTCCTTTTATTGCACCAGAATTTCATGATGCAATGTGCAACCTTTGCCTCTTGCCTTTCGCTGTGCGAAAGTCCCAGGAAGAGCCTGGCTCTGTCTTCTCTGTATCATCCTCAGTTACAGTCAAGTGATGTTGCACTGCTGAGCCCCAGTGAGCTCTTCATTTGCAGAGATCAAGGTCTGGATCATCAGTTCTAGTGCTTCACCAGTGTAAAACCCCTGTCACCATAGAGGGCCAGGATGTCAATATCTTTGGAGAGCTCCCACCTGAAGGAATGCAATTCTCATTTGGCTTCCCTTCATAAATAAATAACCTCTTAGACCCAACACTTCAAAGCAGTTACTAATAACATGCTCTTGCCCTTGTATGCCAGCACTGTGGGTAGCTTCAGTCAGTGTTTTGATGCATACAGTTCATGGAGCTGCACGCTGCGAACACTAACCACCCTCTCAGTCAGCAAGTGAAGTCATTGTCATCCGCCAGTCCTTATTCCTGGTCACGAAGGAGTTTTCAGTTCAAAGAGTGCAATTTTCTTTCTTTTTTTCCCTTTTTTTTAATCTGTGTCAGTAAGCCAGACTTGGCAGCCGGGTAATTGCTCAGAAGCAGCGGCTCAAGAGATGACACATAACACAACAGGCGATCACATTCTTCTGGGAAATCAAAGCATTCTCCCAGTGATGGTGC